TTTTGAGATGGAGTTTTGCTCTGTCACCCAGGCTGGAGCGCAGTGGCGTGACCTTGGCTCACTGCAACCTCTACCTCCCAGGCTCAAGCAATTCTCCTGCCTCAGCCTCCCGAGTAGCTGGGATTACAGGATTGTACCACTAAGCCCGGCAAATTTTTTGTATTTTAGTAGAGACAGGGTTTCATCATGTTGCCCGCAGGGTGTTCTTGAACTTCCAGGCTCAGGCAGTCTGCCTCTAAAGGGCTAGGATTACAGGCGTGAGCCACCATGCCTGGCCTCAGGTCAGTAATTCTTTACACAGTAAAAGTAACGTTGCCTACTGCAGATCTCATATTTTCTGGCCATTGAAAGTACATGTGAGTGTCCTTACAGTGGCAACTTGTTTGGTTATTAATTTAAGGCAAGACACTAGGACCATGGGATAAGAATGCCTTTGTTTGGCACCCCTAGCCCTGCTTGGTCACCTGCCCTGTGATGTGGGAAGTTTGAGGCGACTTCTCATTTTCTCTGTTTGTCTAACAGGTATAAGAAATGTAACTCATAGGGCTGTGGTGAGCGTTGCATGAAATGCTGAGTGTGACGTCTGGCACAGAGGGGTCCTTGGCATTTGCACTTCCATTTGCCCCTCCTTTCTCACCTGTCACTACCTGCAAACACTGTTGACACAGAGTTGTAGAAGTCTCTGGCCAAGCACCCCAACTGGAAGCACTCTTTGATCTCAGAGACAGTGGTATTTATTTCTGAATTGGGAACTCGGATTACTGCCTAACACAGATGGGTGCCCTAGGCCCAGTCACTGAAGCAATGAGGCCTGAGAGTCCCCTACGTGTATCTCAGGGTCCCACAATGGCCATGTACACCATCCCGCAGAGTCCAAGGAAGGAAACTTGTCTGTGGGCCAAAGGTCCACAGGCCTTTTCCTGGGTTCTTCTGACATGTTTGTGGGGAGCCATCCATTGTGTTTTCTCTAGGTGGGTTTGCTATTCTTTCTTCCCTCTTGGAAGTCTCCTCTCTGTCTTAGTGTCTTGGGAAAGGAAAACTCTTGACTTCCTGGTGTGGGCTCCTTTCCTGAACTCCCTAGGAGTCCTTGCTCTTCAGTGATGCAGAAATGTAATCTTTGGCTCAGGACATTATTTTCTGCTCTATTTTTTGTGTGTGGTAATATAGTCATAATGCAATATTTATCATCTTGACCAGTTTTAAGTGTACATACAGTTCAGTGGTATGAAATACATTCACAATGTTGTGTAACCACCACCAGCAGCCAGCTCCAAAACTCCTTTCATCTGGCAAAACTGAAACTCCATACCCATTAAATAGGAACTGCCAATGTCTCCCGCCCTCCACCTGGCAACCACATTCTACTCCATGTCTCTATGAGTTTAACTGATCTACGTACCTCACATAGGTAGAATCATACAGTATCTGTCTTTTTGTGTGACTCGCTTATTTCACTTAGCCTAGTATCTCTGTTTCACCCATTTTGTATCAGGATTTTCTTTCTTTGTAAGGCTGAACAATATTCCGTTGTATGGAATGACTACATTTTGATTATCCACTCATCTGTTGATGAACATACGGGTTGCTTCCGTATTTCCAGGTATTTTGAATAATTCTGCTACAAACTTGGCTGTACAAATATTTCTTCAAGACCCTACTTTATCAGTTCTTTTGGGTGCTTACCTGGAAGCGGAGTTGCTGGATCATTTGGTGATTCTGTTTTGAACTTTTGGGGGAAGCACCATACTGTTTTGCAGGTGGCTGCAGCATTTTGCTTCCCCATGAAAAATGCCCAGGAGTTCCAGTTCTCCACATCCTTGCCTTATTTTCTTCTGTTTATTTATTTATTTATTGTCATACTGATGGGTGGGAGGTAGTATCTTATTGTAGTCTTAATTGTATTTCCCTAATTATTAGTATTGTTGAGGATCTTTTCATGTGATTATTGGCCATTTGTATATCTTCTTTGCAGAAATGTCTATTCAAGTACTTTGCACATTTTTGAATGAGACTTTCTGTTGTTAGTGTTTTGGGTGTTCTCTGTGTGTTCTGGATCTCAAGCCCCTATCAGATAAATGATTTACAAACACTCCCTCCTATTCTGTAAATTGCATTTTGACTCTGTTAGTATTGTCTTTTGAAGTACAAAGTTTTATTTTTATGAAGTCCCATTTATGTATTTTTTTTGTGTTGCCGATGTCTTTAGTGCCATGTCTAAGAAATCATTGCCAAATCCAGTGCCATAAAGCTTTTGCCCTATGTTTTCCTCTAAGGGTTTATAGTTTTAGGTTTTAAATTCAGGTCTTTCATTCATTTAGAGTTAATTTTTGTATATATGTTAGGTAAGGATGCGGCTTCATTCTTTTGCATGTAGATAACCAGTTGAAAGACTGTCCTTTCCAGCACAAATTGTTGAAAGATTGTCCTTTCCCTGCTGAATGGTCTTGGCACCCTGTCCTTTCCAGCACAGTTTATTGAAAGACTATCCTTTCTCTGCTGAATGGTCTTGGCACCCTTGTCAGAAACCATTTGACTGTATATGTGAAGGTTTATTTCTAGACTCGCTGTTCTATTCCATTGGTCTGTACATCTGTCTTAATTCCAGGACCAAACTGGTTTTGGTATTACAGCTTTGTAGTAAGCTTTGAAATAAAGAGGTGGAAATTCTCCAATTTTGTCCTTTTTCGAAATTGTTTTGGCCATTCAGGGTCCCTTGAGACTCCATTTGAATTGCAGGATGGGTTTTCTCTTTCTGCAAAAAAATGTCACTGGGGTTTTGACAGGGATTGCATTGAATCTGTAGATCACTTTGGGTAATACTGACATCTTAACAAGATTAACTATTCTAATACATTAACATGGGACCTGCTCATTATGCCTTTTATTATGCCATTTATTATGTCTTTTAAATTTTGGGGGGCAGTGTTTTGTAGTTTTCATTGCACAAGTCTTTCACCTCCTTTGCTAATTCCTAAGTATTTTATTCTTTTTGATGCTATTGTAAATGAAATTGTTTCTGTAATGTCCTTTCTGTTAGTGTAGAAATGCAACCCATTTTCATGTGTGATGTATTCTCTGTTTCGTTTTTATAATGACAATGCTGATCTTTCCCTTGCCAAGCTCTCCTCTCCTTATCACTTCAGTGGTGTGTGTGTGTGTGTGTGTGTGTGTGTGTGTGTGTGTGTGTCTCAGTGCCTTGCTAAGCCTGTTCCTTTGGAGAGAGGGTAAGGCAAGAGTCTGGTGGGGAAACTGGAAATGTTACTCTCTGTTAGAGATTGGAGACTTTTCTCATTTTTGTTCATTTAGGTCACATGCATTAAACATCAGAAACCTCTTACTAAGCATTGTGAGTTACGTTCATACATCTTTTGCCTTTTAGCACCAGCTGGCAGATCCATCTCCCTCTGGACCTGAGTTTCTGTCCAGCATTCTGCGTTTTTGAGGGATCCACCCTGATGACATGCTCAGTGATAGCTAGGACTCTCCACTGTTTGACCTTAAGCATCCAAATAAAATTGGAACAGCTCAACCTTATGGTATCTTTTATCTGCATAATGACAAACACTATGGTTTTTCCAATATCGAAGAACAACTATTTTTTCCTCCATTTAAAAAATATATATTTGGTGGTATATAATTAAATCCGAGACTTAATTTTTGACAGAAGATAAGAATTACTACTAGTTCCAATTCTTTCTTCTTCAAAATATAATGTGTGGAATTATATTCCATACTTTCCGTCTACTCCCCTTCATTTCCTTCCTTCCTTTACTTTTAAAACGGAAAGCATTATGTTAACTTCTGTAATGTTAGAAAAGTCTGGTCAATTGTTTGGTCAGTTAGAAGAGATGGGCTTCTCGAGTTGAAAGGGGAGGCAGGGATAATTGGGTTCCAAACTCTCATTTTACAGGAAGGGGAATTAAGTGACCTGTCCATTGTCAGGCAGCTAGACAGAGGCAATAATGAGATCTAACATCAAATCTTTGTTCCCTACCATTAAAACAAAACTGTGGTTTTACTGATAGCATTGAAGAAATATGGTAGCTCCAAGAAAGAATGTATTGTAACAAATGGGAAGAGATTGCCACGTTTTTAGGATCTATGATGGGCCACAAACTATGACGTTTTATATAACTTTTCTCATTTAATCTCCGTGGAAGTTTTGTTACATTCCCATTTTACAAATGGGGAATCTGAAACTCACCAAAGTTAGGTAACAGCCAGTAAGTGCCTGGCCAGGATGTGAACCTGGGTTTTTCTCCAAAGTCTTGGCTCTGGAATTTGGCCTCCTGTTCCCTCTCGAAGCAGATTTATGTGTATCCAAATAACAGTAGAACAGTAAAATGTTTGATTAAGCCTTATAAAATACTTCAGCATTTATTATTTTTATAGAGAACATGTACACTTTCTTGCCCTTCGATCTTCAGGACAATCAGTTATTGTATTTAGAGATAAGCTGTCAGCTTCCTTAGGCATTGTGGAGAAAGCTGTCTGTATTCCACATCAGAAAACATGAATTCACAGCCTGGTGCCATTGCCCTCATCCTTAGCACTGAGGATGATCATCTCTGCACAAAGACTTTTTTTTTTTTAACCACCTCCTCTGGGCCGGGCACTTTACTAGATACTGGCCAAGGACCCTGAGGTTTGTTTGGTTTTCTGTCTGCCATGGGGGAGCCCTTGTTCTGGAGTCACAGGTTTCGTTAAAACTCTGGCTCTTCTTGTGGGATCTTGGGCTTTCCCTGTTTAGTTTTCTCGTCTGCGAAATGGGAATGATACCCATGTCAAAGAATCGTTGTGAGGATTAAATGAGGGAGTGCTTGTCACATGTGGCTTATGGTAAGTACTCAGTAATCATAAGCACATTCTACACTGTAAAGTATTATGCACATTTAAGGAGGTTTTACTGGACTGTAATAAGTATTACATTACTATGATGTGCAGTGGAAATTTTCTGCTATGCTTCTTATTTTTATGCATTTTTCCTTTTGATCCATCAGAGGCCAGCAGAAATAGTAGATGAGGAAGAAGATGGAGAGAAGGCAAATAAGGATGCAGAACAGAACGAAGACTTTTCGGGAGTGAATGGCGACCTTGAAGAGGAGGGAGGTGGGGAGGCCACAGATGCCCCTCAGCAAGGCGAGGAGACTCTGGATCTCGGTGAGGAGCGGGCAGGCCCTGCTCCTGTCAGTGGAGTCACTGATGAAGAAAATGGTGAGGAGCTAGAGCAGGTTAATAATGAGCTTCACCTGGCCCCAGAAGAGGAAAGAATGTCTCAAGGGGATGGCAGTGAACCAGATGAGGTATTCCTATTGCTTTTGCTTACTTATGTCATGAATGCTTGAATATGTGTATGTGTGCATACATGCATGCATTTACAGAATTCACCAAGTGTTTAGTACTTGTATGGAAACCCCTTACGGTTGAGTATGAAAGAGTCCATACCATTTAGTGACTTTATTTACTAGTTATTTCAACCATTTAACAAGTACTGCCATTGACCTACCTGACAGTCCATGTCGGCCCTTCTGCCTTTCATCCTTCCGTCTGTCCACCTTCTGCCTCATTTTACAAGAAAATGTACAGAGCCTTCTAAAAACGTACAGAATCAAAGAAATATCAAAAAATAAAAATAAGTTAAGATCAGAGAAGGTAGAAACCAGAAAAGAATATCAAGACCAGTGAGACCTAGACATGAAATAAAGAATACTGTCTCTATTATGAGTGACTTGTTTGATCTCTGGAAGTACTGAAGTCTAGTTCGATTGTTCTACTTCAAATAGATTAATCAAATTAAGCATTCAACACATCAGGCACTTGGTAGTATACAGTTCTATTTAGTACACAGAGGAGATAGAGAAAAATGTGGTAAAAACAAAAGAACAAAAAAAGTAATACGTGGTGAAACCTGTCTCTTCCTAGCCTGTCCTCCTGCGTCTGATCCTGGAGCTGGATACTCATCAGTCCTGGCATTCTTCCACGGGACAATATGACCCCATTGCTGCCAGGCTTAAGTTGAGTCTCAAAGCATAAGAGGCAGAATGTTCTCCACAACATTCTCACCATCTGCTTATCCCCTCCCTGCCTGTCTGTCCATCAGATCAAGGTCCACCTCCCTCAGGCTGTAACTGCTGAAATGGGCCTTGATCTGCTCGTTCCTAACACACACTGTGATGAATGAGGTCTGCTTGATGATTTGTTGTTGATGCATCTGAGTTATCTTGCGTAGGAAGAGCAAGTTTAGCAGTGGCAAAATGCAAAATGTTCTGGTGGCCAGGTTTCAATAGCAGTACACAGCTATCTGTAATTCACTATATGGCGTATTGAAACTCTTCTTAACATCTACATGAAAATGCTCAGCATGTCTCTCATTTTATCTTTTCTCAAGGTGAGATAATCACAGTCCTCTTCTGTAAGAAATTCCCCATGTGTAGTTCTACATGGTCCTTAGTGTCATTTATATGGCAATTGTAATAGTAGGTTTCATAAAACTGTTGGTTGTAGTAGCTTTTGATGAAAGCTTACAAAATGAAATCAAAGTGTAATTCTATGTGGGACTAGATGGTAAGATCCAAAGCATGAATTTCTCCAGCGGTCTAGCTTAATTCAATATGTGACATAAATAGATTTTACAGAAACGAATGGATTGCCTGTCCTTCCATCTTCTACAAATATAACTTAAAAAAATAATGCTGTAATTTGCAACAACATGGATAAACCTGGAGGTTATTATGTTACGTGAAATAAACCAGCTAAAGACGCATACCACGCGATCTCACATATATGTGTAATCTAAAAATGTTAAACTCATAGACGTAGAAGGTAGAATGGTAGTTACCAGGGACAGAGTATGGGGGTTGGAGAGATGTTGGTCTAATGATACACAGTTCCTGTTAGAAAGGAGGAATAAGTTCAAGAGATGTATTGTACAACAAGGTGTCTATCTCTACTAACAATGTATACTTGAAAATCACTAAGAGGGTAGATTTGAAGTGTTCTCACCACAAAAGATAATAAGTATGTGAGGCAAGACATATGCTAGTTAATTAAGACATTCCACAGTGAATACATATTTCAAAACACCATTATTTGCCAATTATAATAAATGAATAATTTTTTTAAAGGGTAAAATAGGCTTTTGATAGGAATTAAGTATCTGTCAAGATCAAGCTTCTGTAATGTGGCAATGGTCTGTAGTATGTCATGAGGGTGAATCTAAATTCTTGGGAATTCAAATGAGGAAGTGCCCTCTTTTTGTTTTTGATGCAAAGCCTAATCAGGGATTTTTTGTTGTTGTTGTTGGGGGGAGGACAAGGTTTCACTCTGTTACCCAGGCTGTAGTCAGTTCAGTGGCTTGATTGCAGCTTTGACCTCCTGGGATCAAGTGATCTTCCCACCTCATCCTCCTGTGAATAGCTGGGACCACAGATGACACCATGCCAGGCTGTTTTTTTTTTTTTGAGATGGAGCCTCACTCTGTTGCCAGGCTGGAGTGCAGTGGCATAATCTCGGCTCACTGAAACCTCTATCTCCTGGGTTCAAGTAGTTCTCCTTCCTCAGCCTCCCAGGTGGCTGGAATTACAGGCTCACACCACCATACCCAGCTAATTTTTGCGTTTTTAGTAGAGACGGGTTTTCACCATGTTGGCCAGGCTGGTCTTGGTCTCCTGACTGCATGATCTGGCCTCCTTAGCTTCCCAAAGTGCTGGGATTACAGGTGTGAGCCACCGCAGACAGCCTGTTTTTTTTTTTTTTTTTTTTTTTTTTTAATAGGGAGGCGATCCCGTTCCCTGTGTTGAACAAGCTGTTTTTGAACTCCTGGGCTCAAGCAGTCCTTTTCCCTTGGTCTCTCAAAGTGATGGGATTACAGGCGTGAGGCACCACGCCTGGCCTAATTAGTAACAGAGCAGTTACTAACAGAGAGGTTTAATCTTACTTGACTCATTTCTTTGTTATAACAGTGATATAATTTATCTTGTTCTCCCTAAGATATTAGTGAAGGTGTATTTTAAGCATACTGAAATATATAAAAAACCAAATTTATGTGGATTATAAGTTAAAATTAATAATTAACTTTTACAGAAGGACTGCTTACTAATAAAATGACTAGAAACTTCATTTACTGTGTAACATTTTGTTCCATGTAACAATTCTTGTACAAAGTGAGAGATGATTGTAGGAAAACAGCCGGAAATACAGTGAATTCACAAGAAACAATTTACATTTATTGAGATAGAACTTGTACTATATTCAAGATAGCATTTGAGACATTTCACAAAGGAACAGTGTGAAAGAAGACACAGCATTAGTAATGTGTGTATGTGTGTGTGTGTATGTGTGTAGCCTGCCACCACCATACCCAGCTAATTGTTGTAGTAGAGATGGGTGTTTTACCATGTTGGTCAGGCTGGTCTCAAACTCCTGACCTCAGGTGATCTGCCTTCCTCGGCCTCCCAAAATGTTGGGATTACAGGTGAGAGCCACTGCGCCCTGCCCCACTTGGTCTTTTAATATTAAATTTGTGCTCTATTACTGGGTTTGGAGTTAACGATTTCAAATAGTTTATAAAAATAAGTGATTAAATGTAAATTTATATACATGTAACTCCATTAACTCCATTAAATGTATATATATTTCCATTTAATCACACACACACACACACATATATATATGTATATATATGATTTCTTTTTTAAGTCATTTAAAAAATTTTATGTATGTATATATATGATTTCTTTTTTAAAGCACAAATTATGGCTTGTGTGGTTTGGGGATCCTGGAGCTACTCTGTCCCCCACAATGAGTGCCCTTGTGGGGGCTGTGGAGCCTTTAGGATTTCATATAGAAGAGTTTGCAAACCAGCTAGTTCTAATGTCACCCGCTCAGTTTTCAGTTTAGTTGGGGAAAGGTGAGTTGTCTATGAGACAATGTTATTAATAACAGGAGAAACCCAGTGGCAGGAGCAGTAGTTGAGGAGAGATCCTGCATCCACATTTTGATTTTCTGTCTTGTTCTTACCTACTTGATACTTGACGGTAATTGGTACCATATTCACAATGAATTTGTGAATTCTAGGAAGGAACTAAAATTAGGAGAACACCCCTGAATTGTGTCTTCCTTTGTCTCTGAAAATGCTAAACTGAAAAGTATACATATATTAAAGAAAAACTCAAGGAGAAATAAAGAAAAATGAGAAAGATAAAGCCTGCAGCATACAAAATGATTCTGTGCCTTTAAAGCACACAATAGACGATGGTCCCCAAAAGAACTTTTGTGCAAGTGTTGAGAAAACGGTATGTCCACTGGGTCATGATAGACACGAAGACAAAGGGAACCCAAGGAACTGTTTTTAGTTAAATATTTATGTAATTAAATAGAATATTGAGTAATTTTTTTCTTTGTAAGTGTCACGACCTTTGTGAACCAAACAGCTAAATATCGTTGTTTTGCTCTGTCTTCTTCTAGGCTGATTTAGACCCTCGAAGACCACCAAGGCCAGAAGTAAAAATTACTAGTCCACAAGAAAATGAAAACAACGAACAAAACAAGGACTATGCTGCTGTGGCATAGAAGATTTTTTAAAAGGGTGTATGGATTGCAAGAAAAATGAAGGGTTATGATACTTGAAAGATAAGCACATACTTATTGCTGAATATAATGTGACACTACGATCGAATACTACCTACTGAATTTTAACATTAGGATCCTAGTGGAAGACTAGATAACTTTTAATGGCTACTAATGCAGAATTATTTTTATTGCATGTGCTTTAAAAAGTCATATAGAAATACCAGATAAGAGGGGACAGAGGAGAATTTGCAATGGAAGACAATTTGCCACTTATATTTGTAAAGGATAAAAAAATAGGATCACTCTTACTGTACACATTATTATACATTTAGAAGGCAGCTTATTCTAAAGAATTTTTTCATCTAGAAGACATAGAATTTTAAAGAACTGGTAATAGGAAAGGATACACTGTTTTCTTAAAGCAATAAACTCTTGAATGAACAAATTGCGATTTACTTTCAGACATAATTTGGAGATGGCAATAGAGCAAAATGTTTCCATGACTTGTATTTTTTCCCAGATTTTTTTTTAATTGTACTTTAGGTTCTGGGGTACATGTACAGATCATGCAGGATTGTTGCATAGGTACATACATGGCAAGGTGGTTTGCTGCCTCCATCCCCCTGTCACCTACATCTGGCATTTCTCCCCATGCTATCCCTCCCCGACCTCCCCCCTCACCCACTGTCCCTCCCTTGCCCCCACTCCAACAGACCCCAGTGTGTGATGCTCCCCTCCCTGTGTCCATGTGTTCTCATTGTTCAACACCCACCTATGAGTGAGAAATGAGATGTTTGATTTTCTGTTCTTGTGTCAGTTTGCTGAGAATGATGGTTTCCAGATTCACCCATGACCCTACAAAGGACGTGAACTCATCTTTTTTTATGGCTGCATAGTATTCCATGGTGTGTATGTGCTTGCTAACATACCTTTCTTCCTTCCTTCTTAGACAAAATCCACCTTAAATGAACGACAAAGACAATGCGAGGTGTTCCTGCTGGTGGGAGGAAGCACTGGTTCAGCGTGTCAGTGACTAGTATTGCCACGCCCTCCCTCAGTCCTTTCAGGTTTGCATGCTTGTGGCTGCAATGGCCCATACTCAAGAAGGAATTCTAAAGGAGCTCCCCGTTATATTGTAAAGCCTGGATGACTGGTTTGCAAATAATGGAAATCCTATGGATATTCACTAATCCAGTCTATCTTTACCAATAATATCTCTCACTTCTCCCTGATGTCATTAAATTAGAGAAGTTGTTATTGGCATTCCAAAGATTAAATTATTCTCAGATAGTTTTTAACAAAAATAAAACAGTGTATTAGGAAGAAAAAAGTAGGCTATATGAAGAGTTTGTGACTGCTCAGTTTCACTTGTTTTTTTTTTTTTTTTTTTTTTTTTTGCCTTATTTCTATTAGGAATGTTTTTGCTCTAAGGGTATCAGCAAATATTTATTTTTCCTAGCATGATCTATTTAGAAATTCGAGCAGGTTTCTTTATAATTAGAAGGCATCTGATAGAAATTGTCAGAAAAAAACTTTAGAAGTTATTTTAATGAAGCCGATTCCTGATCACAACTTCCTGGACTGATTAGATTGATTTATAGTTGACTTGTGAGGTATATATGGGGAAAACATAATTTCATTCTTTTCTGAATTCTTAAGAGAGGATGTTCTTCCATAAATATAGATATTTTTTCTTAAAGGATATATTTTTAGTTATGTGAAAGTTGTAAGTGTGAAATTTTAACTCCTGGTGCTTTTCTAAAATTCATTATTGTAAGTTTAAAAGATTTTTCTCTTCCGGGTTTCATTTGGAATAAAGAATTGGCAGTTATATAAAGCACTTAATAAGACTATAGAAAATTGATGTATTTTTTTCTCAACATGATTTTAGTATTTTCCACAAATAGGAAGTGTAAACAGAGATGATAATATAACAGTGTTTGAAAGAGATAATGACACAGGATATAATGATCTGGGAGCCTGCATTATACACAGGGCGCTTTATCTTTCTAGTGTAAAATCTAAATTGTGCTTTCTACTACTAGGCTTACTTTTTCAAATGAGATGGTATAAAGCACTGTGGGCTATAAGCAACCATGTTGTGTTACTAGGCAAATAGACCAATTGGTCTTTTTAAAAATTACTTAAAAACTTTTTTTGTGAAATGGAGTCTCTTGCTGCCCAGGCTGGAGTGTAGTGGCCAATCTTGGCTTACTGCAACCTCTGCCCCCGGGGTTCAAGCACCTGAGCTGGGATTACAGGTGCCCGCCACCGCGCCTGTCTAATTTTTGTATTTTTAGTAGAGATGTCTGTTTTCCCATTTTTGACCAGGCTGGTCTCAAGCTCCTGACCTCAGGTGATCTGTCTTCCTGGGCCTCCCAAAATGTTGGGGTTACAGGTGTGAGCCACCATACCTGGCCCCAATAGATCTTTTAATATTAAATTTGTGCACTATTACTGGGTCTGGAGTTAATGATTTCAAATAGTTTATAAAAGTAAGTGATTACATGTAAGAAATTATAACTGATTATCAAGGTGATTCTTTTTTCTTTCTTCAGTGGAGAGTTTCTCTCTTTCTCTTTTCCTCCTTTAATAAAAATATTTCTCTTTTTTTCCTGTCCTTTTCTTCATTATATTATGAACTTTAGGTTTTAGGAAACTCCTAAAGAGTCATTTTAAGGAAGCACAGCATTGATATTTTACATGAGAATAGCCTTTGGTATTTTAAGTATACTTCAAGAAGGTCACTATAACCGTAGCAAAAAACCTTAAAACTGGGGACATATTCATTCCATGTGTGTGCCTATTTTACTACCAGTTGACAAGATACAATTGTGACCTATTTTGAGGGAATGAATAACAACTTACCACTTTAAGACCCTTTGCAAACATGTTACAAAAAAAAGGTATTTAGCTGAGGAAGAAATCATCCACTGGGAATTAAAATTGTGGGTGTCACTTCAGAGATGACTTTAACGTAAATGCTGAAAGTTCATTCACACCACAAATGTGGCAGTGTTCTCTGTGGAGGATGGTGATCTCTGTGGCATACCAGCTCCTCCAGTTAAGTGAGACTCATTGACAGACTGGGGATCATTGATGTGAGTTTGACAGACGAGATCTCGGTAGGCTTCATGTACTGTTTTCTAGAGAGGGTGCTATGAAAAACTTATGATGCTTTTATGTGATAACCAATATAATGCTTTAAGATGTTAATTCTTTGTGATGCTACATACTTTTAAAAAATATTTTATGAAACTACTTAGTTAAACTTATCTGGATTTTAAGACACTTGTAAACAACTAGTTTGTTAGTAAAATTGGGGCATTAAGAGTTTTACAGAGCAAATAAAGATTTTGATGAAAGTCATTTTGAGGATGTTTTACCTGGGTTAGCTTCTGTTAAAATAGCTACTGAGTGCCCAATGACTTCTAGTTATAAAATATGATACTATGACCATAAAATCACTTTTTGCTTGTTACTCTTCTATATGACCTTAGAAATACTTTATATTTCAAGGTTTTTTTCATGGTTTTTGGGAGAATGTTAGGATGCCACACTCATAGGAAGAGTGTGATACTGTCATGCCTCCTGTTTTATTGTATGATTTCTTGCTATGTAGTGTGTGAAGACAGAACCATCCCATACAAGAGTGGCTCAGAGTGAGGTATCTCTGTAGGTTCACAGTTGTGAACGCATGTTAATATGGTATTATTCATGCTAACTCTTTCAGTTTATAGCTCATAAACTAACATCTTCAACATTTTCATTGAGTGACCTACCTTATATGCCAAATAAGGTTTATTCACCTAGAATAAACCGAATAAGGTTTATTCGCCTAGAAAAAAATCTGTGTATTTGAAATAATGGCTGCATGACAACATGAAGTTTTCTTTCATTTTTTGTTCAGCAAATGGCAAAAGCAGAGTTTAAAAAGTAGATGAATTGCTGAACAGAAAGCATCAAAATGAAACTCTTGCCAATCTGAACAGAAATATAGCATATAGACATAGATACATATCAAATACTTACACAGATGCACTCACACACTTTAAAACATTAAAAAGGCCTCCTGCGGCTTGGTGTTACTAATAAAATAAGGCTCTTTTGGGTGAAGCTGAGAGAAGTGATGAGTTAAAACGTGAGAGGAAATGCTAAGAAATGACATATAGTATGGTACTTTAAATCGTGATTTTCTAAGACTTTTAAGAGATTTACAATTCTTCAAATAAGAAAGAAACTAGCATTTCAATGACAAATGTATTCTAGGGAGGTGTTGAAACAAATCTGGTTTTTAAAATGTGATATATCACAGAAACAAACCAAAAAAAAACCAAGACATACATCTTGTTTTCCTGAAGTAACTACAGAGTGCGGTTCTTTTCCTCAAGCTTATGCACAGTACTTTTCAAGTGCAGACTCTTTTATACCAATACAGACTCTGTTACTACTGTTTGTGAATGTGTGTGTGTGCACGTGTGATTTACATAGGTGTAGCAAGGACTTTTTTTCATACCAGTTAGCCAGGTGTATCATAAATAGAATGAAAGACTAACTTGCTGGTCCACTGGTTTATATAATGTTCAGGTTCAGTGCAGAAGCATTTTGGCATTTTTATGTGAATATAACATCCTCCAGGAATAGAATCATTTTTTAAAGGTTAGACTGTTATTCTGTGATGAAGAACACATACAGTTGTTTGTTGTTAAATATCGGTTTTGTAAATATCATAGGATTTTTCCTTTTTAAAACATGTCAGGACATTTAGATGGGACGGATTTTTGTTCTCCCTACATGAAATTTGTATGTTTCCTCCCATGAAGTTCGAGTGATATGAATGGGGAATACAAGAGTGTTCCCTTATGTTGATAAGGAAAAAGATACTGTTTTTGAAAAGGCATAACATCCTGTAGGAGACGGGGAATTAGGCAACTGTTTTAAATTGTCTGGTTTACCATAAGACATTTATAGAATCAGGAGGTAACTGATGGAGCTCCAGTGACTTACGCCAACGATGACTTCAGCTTTACTCTAAGAATGGGTCCAAATGAATTCTCTGCAGTTTCATCAGCTTGAACCATATAGTTTAATTGTGTTTCATTTATTGTCACTAATGCAGTGACATATGGGAAGAGGGAATGGTTGTAGTCATTCTTAGAAGAATTTTTGAGAAAGCCCGTTTTGTCTTCTGCTTCGGTGTTTTTTCTTGTGTCTTAAATCTTTCGTATGTACAATGATAATGGGTGATGGTTGATGTAAGTAAAGATTCAATTGAGCTCATTGTTTTTAAATGACTTAGTATTTTTAGAATGTCTCTGTAAGAAAAATTGTGTTTTGATCAAACTATGAGCATTTAGGTTTTTACTTCTGTATCAGTGTACGCTCTAAAATGCAGAAGTTTACTGTTTGATCTTTTGAGTAAATAGACCTACATTTTATATAATT